GGCTTTTCTAGAGAAAAGGCATGCTTGTGTTTTGTTTGCATTGAAATCTACCAAGTTATTGGATCCCCATTCGAAAATTGTTGCCAAGTCCATATTTATATTGTCAACATTCTCCCTCGTTCGTTTCTGAATTGCCTGGCTGGTATTGGAGCTCTGGAAGAGAAGGCGGTATGGAGGGTACTATCATCCGCGAAGCGGTGTACTGGACATGAAGTTGCTTCCAACAAATCGTTGATATGGAGTAGAAATAGTGTTGGTGCTAGAATTGATCCTTGCGGAACACCAGCATTTATGAAGAGAGAGTCAGATGAAACTCCGTCGACCACTACAAGGAGAGACCTTTTTGAGAGAAAACTAGCTAGCAGAAAACATAGTTGGGGAGGCAAGCCATAAGATGGAAGCTTGGCGAGGAGTCCGTGGTGCTAGACCCGATCGAATGCATTGGAAATATCAAGTCATGCCATGGCTAAGGTTCCACATGGTTTCACCATCTCAATAGATTGCTGCCATATATGTGAGATTTAAGCGAGCAGGTCACCACTTGATCTCTGATGATGGAAGCCATATTGCCTATCGTTGATAATACCTGAATGTTCCAGGTATTTCATAAGCCAGATGTTGATAGCTTTCTCCATGATCTTTGAAACAATAGATAGCAGTGCGGTGTGGTCAACTCACTTTCGAGTATTTATTTTTATTGAAAATATATTGGATCACTTTGAATATGGATGATTTCTATGAAGTTTTTATGGGTTCTAGAGGTTATAGGTGTGAGTAAATTCAACAAACATGTATTCAAATTATTTTATTTATAATCACTGATGACAACCCCCTATTTTATACTAGAAATAAGACAATTTCGATATTTTCTTGGAATAACTTCCATCCAAAATGAACCATTTAGTAATCCTCTAATAGGTACTCAAATATACACAGCTATTTTTTTTTTCAATATTTATTATCAACAAAATCATGTAACAATCATCCTTATTGGAACTAATTGAACAAAAAATCATTATTCAATGTATAAAGTGTTTGATTAAAAAAATTCATCTGGTAAAATGAAATTTGGTAGTCAAAAACAATTAATAATAACAGAGGTCAGTGTGACAGTGTGCACCACCCTATACAATTTTGAAATGATTTATTGTATATCAAGTGGACCAATGGAGAGCATAGCTCTCATAAAGTTCAATTTTTTTTACAGGGTGATAATTATGTATAGGACCAAACAACCTCAAGGGGTGTTTTTTTCAGTACCTTGAAAACTATGTATTTCCGAATCTATGTTGATATGAACTTTTCACCTCAGAAACACCCCAAGAATTGCCCCTTGAAATTGGGCAACTTACTCCAACAATACCCTGTATATTTACTCAGATCAGTTTCTTGAATTTTTCTCGTGAATGAAAATGTCAGTACAGTTGAGTTAATTCTATTATTGATGTTGAATTGACGAAAAATATCATCAAGTATATGTAGATTCCTTTTGGAATGAGAGTTTCAGGACTTCCCAAAGAATATACAGCGTGTCTCATTTCAAACGCCCCCCCCCCCTCAATATCTCAGCTATCAGTCGTGCGATCTTTACCAAATTTTTATGTTTATGAATATTCATCAATATGACCAGTTCTTCAAAGACAAGCATATCATTTTAGACAGTGCCGTGCATTTTCATCGAAATGAATAGGGGTCAGTTTTTTATATTAGGCATTTTTTCACAGGAAAACTGACCTCATAATATTGTTCTTTATGGTTTCAAACCCACATATGTGGATTTTCATAAGATGCCTGCCTATGAGAGGTTTCAGAAAAACAGGCACATCTAACCAGCATTTTTGCGAACGTAATTATTATTTACTCGGAAACGGTGAGTTCAATATAAAAAAGTATAACTCGTTTTTCCTTTCAAATCATGATTTTCCACCCACCGGATCCATTGAACGTTCAAAAATTCGTAGTTGATTTGATGTCACTATTTATTCAAGACTGAAAATGAAACAAACGAAGCCAATCCTGTTAATTCAGAATCAGGTAATTTTTTGCATATGGAGGTTTGAAAGCATGAGGAACAATAATATGAGGTTAGATTTCCTGTAAAGAAATGCCTAATATGATTTTATAACTAATCGACCCCTTTTTAGTTCAATAAAAACGCACGGCACTGTCCAAAATAATGTGCATCTCTGTAAAACTGATCATATTGATGGTTATTCCTACCACACCTAATTTGGTTGGACTAAGATATAGAGGGGAGGCCGTTTAAAAGTGAGACACGCTGTAGATATTAAATTCGGAAGAATGTACAATGTACTTTGAATTTTTTTCCGATTTCAAGAATGTTTCTCTTTCTCCAAGTAACCATTGTTAAATATTAAAACTCAATGCTAAATTGTTTTATCAATAAGGTCAAAATATGAAATGTCATCAAGTAGACTCCGTTAGGCATGAGAGTTTCAACACTTCCCAAAGAATATAGATATTAAATTGGGAAGAATGTACAATGTACTTTGATTTTTTTCTTTTCAAGAATGTTTTTCTTTCTCCAAGTTTCAGTATCAAAACTCGATGCTAAATTGTTTTATAATACTCCAGCTGATGACAGACTTCAATAAGGTCAAAATATGAAATGTCATCAAGTAGACTCCGTTAGGCATGAGAGTTTCAACACTTCCCAAAGAATATAGATATTAAATTGGGAAGAATGTACAATGTACTTTGAATTTTTCTCCGATTTCAATAATGTTTTTCTTTCTCCAAGTTACCATTGTTCAGTATCAAAACTCAATGCTAAATTGTTTTATAATACTCCAGCTGATGACAGACTTCAATAAGGTCAAAATATAAAATGTCATCAAGTAAATTCCGTTTGGCATGAGAGTTTCAGGACTTCCCAAAGAATATAGATATTAAATTGGGAAGAATGTACAATGTACTTTGAATTTTTTTCCGATTTCAAGAATGTTTCTCTGTCTCCAAGTACCATTGCTCAATATCAAAACTCAATGCTAAATTGTTTTATAATACTCCAGCTGATGACAGACTTCAATAAGGTAAAAATATAAAATGTCATCAAGTAGATTCCGTTTGGCATCAGAGTTTCAGGACTTCTCAAAGAATATAGATATTAAATTGGAAAGAATGTACAATGTACTTTGAATTTTTTCCTATTTCAAGAATGTTTTTCTTTCTCCAAGTTACCATTTCTCAATATCGAAACTCAATGCTGAATTGTTTTATAATACTCCAGCTGATGACATACTTCAATAAGGTCAAAATATAAAATGTCATCAAGTAGATTCCGTTTGGCATCAGAGTTTCAGGACTTCTCAAAGAATATAGATATTAAATTGGAAAGAATGTACAATGTACTTTGAATTTTTTCCTATTTCAAGAATGTTTTTCTTTCTCCAAGTTACCATTTCTCAATATCGAAACTCAATGCTGAATTGTTTTATAATACTCCAGCTGATGACAGACTTCAATAAGGTCAAAATATAAAATGTCATCAAGTAGATTCCGTTTGGCATCAGAGTTTCAGGACTTCCCAAAGAATATAGATATTAAATTGGAAAGAATGTACAATGTACTTTGAATTTTTTCCTATTTCAAGAATGTTTTTCTTTCTCCAAGTTACCATTGCTCAATATCGAAACTCAATGCTGAATTGTTTTATAATACTCCAGCTGATGACAGACTTCAATAAGGTCAAAATATGAAATGTCATCAAGTAGACTCCGTTAGGCATGAGAGTTTCAACACTTCCCAAAGAATATAGATATTAAATTGGGAAGAATGTACAATGTACTTTGCATTTTTCTCCGATTTCAAGAATGTTTTTCTTTCTCCAAGTTACCATTGTTCAGTATCAAAACTCAATGCTAAATTGATTTAAAATATTCCAGCTGATGACAGACTTTAAAAAGGTCAAAATATAAAATCTCATCAATTATGTGTCGATTCCATTTGGCATGAGAGTTTCAGGACTTCCCAAAGAATAAAGATATTAAATTGGAAAGAATGTACAATGTACTTCCAATGTTTTTCCTATTTCAAGAATGTTTCTCTTTTTTCAAGTTACCATTATCAGTATCAAAATTCAATGCTAAATTGTTTTATATTACTCCAGCTGATGACAGACTTCAATAAGGTCAAAATATAAAATGTCATCAAGTTAATTCCGTTTGGCATGAGAGTTTCAGAACTTCGCAAAGAATATAGATATTAAATTGGAAAGAATGTACAATGTACTCTGATTTTTTTCATTTCAAGAATGTTTTTCTTTCTCCAAGTTACCATTGTTCAGTATCAAAACTCAATGCTAAAGTTTTATAATACTCCAGCTGATAACAGACTTCAATAAGGTCAAAATATAAAATGTCATCAAGTAGATTCCATTTAGCATGAGAGTTTCAGGACTTCCCAAAGAATATAGATATTAAATTGGAAAGAATGTACCAGGTGAACAACTGAAAAGGGCTGTCGACCATATCTCAGCAACGAATGATGATACAAGTTTGAGATTGAATGAATCTAATGGTATTCATATCATTATATCAAATCTCAACAGACCAACGAAAACCGCAACATGATAGCTTTTCGCCAACGAAAGATATCAACTATCAAAGTTGAAAGAATGATAGATATGACAGCCGTACTTAGTTGTTCACCTGGTACAATGTACTTTGAATTTTTTTCCGATTTCAAGAATGTTTCTCTTTCTCCAAGTAACCATTGTTCAATATCAAAGCAGACTTCAATGAGTTCAAAATATGTCCTCATTCATTTAAATTGTTGTGGAGATGATCTTGAGAGTACAGTGTGAATAGTTTTCAATGATTTTGCGGGATATCTGGAAAAAGTAAGGCAGTAATGTGAAAACTGCACCACTATCTCCAAAGATGACTGATATATCATGCAAAATATCGTCCTTGTTTCGGCCAAGGAGCTCCATTCTCAGAAAAAATCTCGCTCACAAACCAAATACAACCCCCTAATTCATGAACAAACGACAGCTTATCCTCCCCACCTCGGCCCACTCGATACAAACAAGCTACATACAACTTATATACACACAAATCGACAACTATATACAAAAACATACACACAACACTCACACCCGCACATCACATTATAGAGCACAATCCGGTCAAGTCCTTCCCCTTCGACACGGGCGGCAGCTTCGTCAGCCTCACGCCCTTCAAACCCTCCTTGAGGGCGGCCGGCTCCAGCTCCGGGGCGTCCAGACAGGGCGGCATCTCCTCCCCTCCAATGCCACCCCCCTCTTTCTCCTTGCCGACAGCGGGGATAGGCTTGCTGATGTTGATTTTGATGCGGTTCGTGGCGACTGCGCTGACGGCCATCTCGACGTTGCCGTCCATCGAGGAAACTTGGTCGACGTGCGAGGGGAGGGAGGTGTGTGTGATGGTGGGGGGATCGCTGGTCGGCGTAGGGGGGTCTTTGGGCGGGGGGGTGATCGGTCGGACGTCGTCTGGAGAGAGATAATGCATGGTAGACTCGATTAATGATAATAATAATTAGAGTCACTGGATGGTAGTAGAGAGTCCCTGTATATACCTCAGACTAAGGTAAATACAGGGACTCTAGTATTAGTTAGATCACAGTTCGGACACAGTTTGTAGTGCCTTTTATATGATGAGCAGGGTACTGGGGTGCATTTTATATAAGAAGAAGGGTATACGTGGAAAAATAGATCGGTGAGATGACAGACTGTCAGACGGTAGGAGATGGATGTCAAAAAAGTGGCGAGTTTGGCAAATTCAGGAGAATACTCCTGCAATTGCATCACCCGATGTAAGAATCAATGGCCAGTGAAGCATTTGACGTAGTTGGAGTACTTCCTAATACGAATAATGAACATACAAGATACAAACTGTGAGTTAGTGTTTTTGGGTATATGATAAATTGATATTCATCATACAGGGCGTGGAAAGAAATTCTGAATTGAGACTCTATCACGAATCTGTGATAGAGGTTTATAAAAATGAGTTCCCATCGTTCAAGTTTGAACCCCTTGTGAGTCAATGCTTATATTCAATTGACATTGCCCGTCACGAAATCCACGTTACCTTTAAAGCACTGCCCACATTCATCCTCTTTCATTAAATATTGTATATCAAGAATATTAGCGTCTTATTCCCTGAGAGAAAGATGCTCATCAAGCTGAACTACTGTCCTTTTTTACTATATATGACAATGTTTTGAGTGAATAAAAAATAAGACATATATTCAGTTCTTTGTCTTTTCAATTCCCCTAATAGTGCCTGATTTTCAGATACGATTTTGGAGGTTTGATTTTCTGTCGAAACAATCATAGCCGTAGATGGAAAAGAGAAATCGCAAAATAGTCCTAAAAATGAGAAGAATGCATGTAACAACATGTTACTATGACAAAATAGACACATATTACTTATAGCTAATTCGGTTGGTATTGAGAACGCCATTCGATGATATATGCACGTTTGGCAATCATTTCCTCTCTCTTCATGATCATTTTGTTTGCATTTCGTGTTCGTGTGATGATAATGGATTTTTTAGTCTGTTTTGTAAATGGATGGAACAGCACATTTTCTCAAATGGAACTTAAAGTATTCGGTTTGAAAATGGGCCTAAAAGATAGTTTTATTTTTATCTGCTGTTATAAGAAGTGAATTTGAATGTATGAACCTCACCAATTTTGATTGTCTTCAAATCGATTTTATATCCAGACCGTTTCATACATTTCCTCCATAGGAGAATGATTGATATTTCCTTTGGAAAACTAAATAAATGGAATCCATTCTCTTCAGAAATTCCACCATTCATTACACTGCAGGACATTTTCATTTATGCTTCCTTATGATGAAATTATATTTCAATTCTGACGTTTATAAAACATTTCGTTAAAATCAAACTATTTTGAATAAAAAAAAACTCGAGACGAGTATGGGGCTCTTGTCACAATGCAAGGTGTATAAATTAATAAATATCATAGAGCTATAAACTTTCAAAAACACTAACAGTTGTCAATTCTGTGTCCGAACTCTTATCTAACTGATACCATCCAGTGATTATAATAATATGATTTATGTTTTATTCATTGCTACAATAGGCGAACGCCTTCAGAATATCAAAGTTAGTGATTTTCATGCTTCAGAAAGAAGGATATTCCTAGATAGTTCAGCAACTTGCAGATAGGTAGACTCGAGGAGATTCCGAGAGTAAAGACAAATCGGCATAATTTGGCTTCAACATTTTATATGAAATTGGATCATCTTGTTAGTGTGAAATATAAAGGACGCTAGTGAATTTTTGCCATATATCTATCTTATATCGATCTTTCCATGCATGAATAGAATTCGATACAATAATTTCATAGATACTTTTCAGATGACGTGATACACAGATAAGCACCAATAGTTGACATATTCTTTAACAACCAATGAGAGAAACCAATTACTTAATGACTTCTACGGTTGGAATGTCCACACAATACATAGATCAGAATATTTACTCCATATCAACTTCACCAGATTTAGCGGATATTGCAGATATCCAAACTTGATACTCTTCAGATCATACAATTTTTATATTTCCACTTTAGTAGAACAAATATCGAATTGTGACCTGCTTTTTTATCCATACCGTCGATGCCTGATGATTTTCAAACAAAAATCGAAAGCAATCAATCAGTTGAATGAATGAAAGTTTTGTGGTTGACAAGACAAGCAAGTGTTTTTTCTCTTCAGTCAAACATACTATTCTAAAGGTAGGAAGGTTATGTGAAATGCCGTGACCAAATATTCATATGGTGAATGATAATCAAGAATATTCACGCGTTGTGCCTTCTTCTGACAGAAATAGGAACTGGATATTTTCAAATGATGAGAAATGAAATTTTTCACTGAAATTAGTGAAATTGTTCTGTTCAAGTAATTTTCAAGATTGAATTTTAATCGTCCTACATCATGTTTATTTTTCTTTATAAAATATCGATTGTTTGTCAATGCTTGAATTGAATCTATCAGAAGGTATTCACTTGTTGCTGTTCTTTATTACTCCAAGAAACATCTTTGTATGTAATAGGGATATATAATCATATGATATATATATATAAATATATAACAATTAAAAAAAAACCAATTACCAAGTTATGTGATTTCCTTCCTGGCAGAATGATTCGTGAGAATTCATTGTTGGTTGAAAAAAAAAGTAGAATGAAACTGCTCACAACAGCTTGGACTGTCAGTTCACGCTCTCTCTATTATTTTTTTGTGTAGTCATGTCTGTCACTGCTGCTCAGAGTATCCGTACTCTACAGGATGTATTTAACACCGAAAAAATCTGTACCTCACCCCGGAAAAGTTACACCCCTCCAAAGACTAAAAAAAACAGGATTTTTCGTTTCTATTTTCCCTGTATATGAAGCTGAAGACACGAAACTTGGTAAATATTATTCGTCAATAAAACTACACATTTTGAAATGTGTTCAACCCTGAAGTATGCTAAGGAGGGGTTGAAATGTTCAACCCATTAGATATTTTTTCTTACAACTTTTTTTGGATACAAATTTTCTTCAAAAACAACGATGGCTGAAAAGCCCAATTCATTTAACAACTTTTGCATTTCTAAAAGTTGTCTCGAAAAATTGAGCTTTTGCCATGTTATTTTGAAAGAAAAATGTCCATCGAAAAAAAGTTGTAAGAAGAAATATCTCAGAGTCTAAATATTTCAACCCCTTCTAAGCATATTCCAGGGTTGGAAACATTCCAAAATGTATATGTTCCCGAAGGGTGTAACTTACCTTAATTTTCATCACAGAATCACCCCATAGATTTTTTCGGTGTTATTTAGATACACCCTGTATAAAATATAATCAAAGCTACTTGTTTTTCATCGACAAAATAAAAAAAACCTCACCTGGATCTATCGGTTCAGATTTGATCTTGATCTGTTTTCCATTCTGCAAACTGACCAGACTCGACACCTCGACGAATCCATCGTCCAGACTCTCTCTTTTCACTTTGACAGCGTCCGGATCGGAGAAAACGCCTTCGGAAAGCAGTTCTTCGTCGTCATCGTCGACCACGATCTTTATGGGCGCCACCTGTGGAAAACGATTGATTTTTGATCTCGGATGGCCTTTTCTTTTATAATAATAACATTTGAATAAATACGTGAAGCTCAAAGTCATCTTTACAAATGTTCATAAAATTGGTAGATAACGAGAGAAAAACGACTACTTTCCTCGCTATATGCCACGCAGAACATTGAACTACATCCTCCCGAAATATATGCAATAAGTCGTATCGCAAGTGTTTCCTTCCTAAACGCCGAGCTGCGCTCAAGTGGTACAGGAACACATGACTACCTACAGACCATTTTCGAGCTTTTGGCTCTCATCAGTGCAGGGCTGTCCCAGATAGCATTCATGACCGCTATCTGGTGCAAACCGGACCCAACATTAACGCATCCCAGCATTTATTACCCAAGAGGCATACGACATCCGCGAGAAGGACACGATTGCCACCTGAGAAGAAGGGAAGAAACATTCCGGAACAAATTCGCATGAAATGGGAGTGGCTGATTGCCCGACTGGCATGCCTTCATTCAAGATAGCGGTCATGAATGCTATCTGGGACAGCCCTGCACTGATGAGAGCGGAAAGCTCGAATCTGGTCATGTTTTTCCCTCGTTATCTACCAATTTCGTTCATTTATGAACCTTTCATTCCACTTTGAGCATTTTGGCTTTGTCTCAGTTGATAAAAACATTTATTTGTAATTCATTGCAACAATTATCAAATTGCTACCCATCTCTTAGTAGATATTGCTTCCAAATGAATATATTATATTTTAAAAATATCAATTATTCATTATAACAGTATGAGAGAGTTAATATAAATTTTAATTTCTAGAACAATCGCAACGGACAATCAAACGAATTTCATTGAAACAATGTTTGGAAATTTATCTGGGGGGTTATCTACTCAATGGGACAACCTGAAGAAAAATACTTCAACACAGCAGATAATAACTGTGCCGAATTTGAAATGCAGAAGGATCCACTTGATTAGAATCTTATTCATTATTTCGTGGTTGGCGTTTGGTAATGTTAATTTGTTGATATATTTTTCGTGCTTCAAAAATGAATCGCCATGTCTATCGTCTGAAGTCTTACCTTCACAGTAACTAGTTGAAAAGAGGAGTTAGTTATTTTGCTCATTTCTTATACGGAAAAGACATCATATTCTAGGACCTCTGTGAAACCGCTGCCAAATCGAGGAATCAAAAGGATTTTTCGGGTAAAACATCTTATTCAACTTGGCATAAATAGCTTTTGACAAAAAATAGAACCTTTATAACATAAGAATAAAACCATAACATAATTTTCAAAACTTACTACTTATAATCATATACTCACTAGTCCTTTAATAATCGTTATACGAAAAGAAATTTGTAGTATTTGTTGTTGTTGATGGTTTTAAGGCTGTTGTGTGATTAGTTTTTGATGTTTCAGCAACTCATTTAATATTATAAATCTGAAGCACTCTATTTTGTGAATAAATATGGTTCGGCAGCGTCAATTCTTTAAAGAAAATAATGGTCTAGTGGCGGTATTGTTTGAGGGATCGCCTTTGTTGATGAGGAACACATTTACAGCAATCCTCATTTTTTTTAGATATATGAAATATATCTGAACATTATGAATTCTCTGGCAATGATTCTGCAGTGATATCCCCACCATTCGCGATATCATTCATTTATCCGTGTTTGGCCTTTAGGATTGTTGGCGAGTACTTTTCTAATGATTTATGAATGAATCGCGGTGTCTATTTATCGTTATTCAATCTGAAGTCTCACCTCATTCAAAATAACGTCGTCGTCGTCGTCATCCTCCTCTTCCGGCTCAGGCGCAGCTTGCTGACTCTCCCCACCCTCGCCATCCTCTACCGGTTTCGATTCGTCGCTTTCCAAGGATACGACTTCCGGCGGCTCCTTGTCTCCATGGTCATTCGTTTCACCTTCGTCGTCTTCGTCGTCATCGTCTATCACTATCTCCAGACCGGGAATCAAACGGTCTTCAGACTTTTCTTCGACAGGTTCTATTTTGCTTTCGTCCGCCGTGTTGTCCAGAAGGGATTGCTGAAACCACACGATTGATAAAATACTTCTACCTCGGAATGTGAGTTTTTACAACAGCTTTTTGGTGATTCATCTTAAGGAACAGTAAAATATACAACACATTGAAGTAGGAAGTCATATTATTAATTGAAAGAAACCATAGTCAATCTAAATGGAAAGCTAGTTGAGAGGCAACCTCCTTCTGAATACATTTATGCTTGAAAGCGTCACATCAAGTGGTAGGTGATTATAAAGATTCAAATCCACTGTATTACGCCTCGACATTTCGAGCATAACCTTTGTTTGCCGGAGTTTTTCTGCATTTCTAGTGGGGTAGTTATGAAGGTCCGAGTGAGTGGGGTAGGAGTTTTTGTTCTTATGAATATGAAGTAAGGAGTAGAATATATAAATACAGGGCAATGGCATAATTCTGAATTTTTTGAAGAGTGGTTGGCAATGATCATTAAATGGAGCTCCAGCTATGATTCTGATGGTCTTTTTCTGTATTTGGAATGCTCTGAGGGCATGGGTGGACTTACCCCAGAGTAATATTCCATACATTAAATGGGTGTGGAATAGAGAATGACACGAGGTTAGGAGTGTTTGGGGGTTCAAGACTTTCTTCATCTGACGGAGTAGAAATGTCTGTGTGGATAGTTTTTTACACAGTTGGTCAATGCGATTTTTCCATTTGAGCGTATCATCAATAGTTATGCCAAGCAGTTTAACGTAATTATTACTAGTTAATCTGTTATTTGACGATATCAAGAGATTTTGGGTTTTATCCCTGTTTAATTTAAGATTGTTACAAGTTAATCATTTCTCAGCTTTAACCTCTATTTTTTTAGTATTTTGTAGTAATACATCAACATCAGAGTCTGATTCTATAATTGTGGTATCATCTGCAAAGCAGCTATTTGTACTGGGCAGTGAATAAAGGAAAATATCATTTATATAGACGATGAAAAGTGTCGGTTCCAGAATAGAGCCCTGGGGTACACCATGAGACATATGTTGTTCATCTGATGAAACACCATCCACACAGACGGCTTGTTTTCTTGCGTGAAGATAGGACTGGAAAAAGCTTGAAGCTGTTCCTCGGACTCCATAATGTGTAAGTTTTTCTATAAGGATATTATGACTGATGCAGTCGAATGCTTTGCTGAGATCCCACAAAGTCAATGAGGTGTGTTCACCATGTTCTACATTCTCAATCACATTGTGTACTACATCTACCACTGCATCGGTTGTAGATCTTTTTTTCATGAAGCCATATTGATGCTCATGTAATGAATTGTATTTGTTAATGAAAATCATCAGGCGCTCCTTAGCTATAATCTCTATTGTTTTACCAAAAACAGGTATAATAGAAATTGGTCTATAATTATCGGGCGAATCTGGATCCCCTTTCTTGAAGATAGGTGTTACTTTGCTCATCTTGAATATGTCTGGAAACACCCCTTCAGAGAAACAACGGTTTATGAGGATGGTTAATGGTTCGATAATATGTTCAAGTGTTTCTTCGATGATTCGGTTATTTAGATGATATATTGTCACAATTAAGTAATCATTCCAAAATTATAATAGAAACCATTAATTTAATATTCTCATAATTTCCAAATCGTGCTTCTTCCATCGCACCGAAAGTTTATTAACATTTGAAACACGTTTTGGCATTGACTCATCAACAACCTTAACGACTGAGTAACCTCCAACAGCAACGTACCAAGAATTACCTGAACAATAACAGTACTTGAGATTTCAGATAAATATAGATTTGTGGATATTCCAGAAGGCAGTTGATGATCGGTATTTGAATAGTTGCTGTCGTTGGTGCAAACGGTCGATTCTCTTCAGTCGGTTATCACGTTTATCAGTTTAGTTAGGTCTTCGTGCGTTCTACCCGACGACACTCTCCGAAAATGGCTCTATCTATATTGTAAGTACTATTTAACCATTTTATAAATTGTATGTCCTATCTATAATGATTCCTCTTCTATATGATGATAATCTAATAAATGTATCTATGTTTTGGATATGGTTTATACTATTTCTCATACCCCTTAATATTAGTGTCTTGAGTTAATATAAGCTACCCTCAAAGACGATCCAGTGGCCTTATCCCATCAGGAAGCCAGGGATCGTGACAAAATGTCAGTATTTTAATAGCGATAACTACATCCTCATGTGTCACGGGACGCATGAAAAAAGAATCTCTTGGTGTGGAGAGGCTTGAAAGACACGAAGAACAGGAAAATCCGAAGTGAAAACCGCAACCAATCCGAACCTCTCTCACCCACCTGATAATCCTCGTAGCACACCGGATGGTAGGTCTTCTCCTCCGCCCGGATCGCGTTGCGCAGATGCCACTCCTCCCTCTCCTCGTGGAAGAACTGGTCGAACTTGTCGCGGCACACGGCGCAGCACTCGGCCGTGGAATCCGGATCGGCCGTCACGCTCGGCACCTCCGCGTCTTGCTCGTCTTCGTCGGCCGCCCCCTCGGCCTGCTGCTGCTGGTCGAAGAAGTTCTTCTCTGCGAATAATAACGATGATCGTGAAGCGGTATATTCAGATCGAGTTCCGATATTCCCAAAGAGTACTATCCATGTAGTCTAGACTGTTCCGAAATTACTTTTATCTACTAACTGCATAGAAAGTTAGCGTTGGCTCCCTCATTTGAGGACACAAACCTGTCAATTTACTCCCACGGGAAGAACAAAACATTACCTCCCATGGGAGGAAAAATAAATTGGCTTCATCATGCTTCCTTGGTATAGAGATATACACATAAGATTTGTGCTACCCAAGTACCTAATCAGTGTGTCCATCACTACTATAAAACAAATAACAAAATTCATTTTCCAATGATCTCATTCACTTCCTCATATAACACTCAATCGAAACTTTAAATAAAATGCAATAATTACATCACAATACACTAATTCAATGTGACAGAAGTGTCAATGTTAAATTAATTTTCGTTCTTTCGTAGATAAAATCATATATAAATCTTGGGAGCACACGTCATTTCCTCCTGTGTTTAATGTTTAATCAAACTTCACAAGCGGGAGGAAATGTTACATTTGCTCCCTTGATATATAAATAGCTATTATCTGCTGGCAGCACTTTGTCGCCTTCTGTTAATGAACCCTGTGCAAGGCTAGAAATTCACTGTTCACTACTGACATCAAATAGTCATGTGGCGCCAGTAATATTCCCTCTCCTTCATGAAAAACTAAAAAATGTGGTTATAAAGATTATTATTATTCTCTTCAATCTCTTTATGTGCTGTTTGTTGTTGGGTTATTTATAGTGATTTTTACAGATATACAAATTTTTTTTATTTCAAACCTAGAAACAACCAATAAACAACAATAATTGTTCGTCTGATGTCATAAAACTGTTTCGGGTAGTTTTCGAAATTGAATATCCTTGGGCGAGAATAATTTTACCTCTCATATTTATGATAAAGATATAAATCCCTGCAATACATAATGTAGGAATTGATCTACTTTATTGTGACTGCTACTAGAACTAGTGCATGCCATCCACAATATCAGATGAAGAATCGGAAAATTCAGCAGTAACAGAGCGAGAGAACATCCATATAAACTACTCAACACTAATTTCGTCGCACACCAAAATGTCGCCCCAGTTATAATGTGAATAACTTTTTTCAGTTCAGAACAATTTGAATTTGGTTGACACCGTTCGATAGCCCAGTCCTTCAGCTATAATCTCGTACTTCATTGAAACATAAGGGTATTCACATAAAATCACAATGGACTGACAAACCCGACCAGCCAAAGCTCATCATAAATGATGTACCAACAACCCTATGCGGTCTCGCATTGTCATCAACGAGAACAAAGTTGTCACCCACATTCGCGTTAGATGCGGCATCGAAACTATCGAAATATGTTTATGATTCGAAAACGACGTCTAACCTGACTTGTCAGTCACTTACTGTGATTGTTGTAACGTTGGTTACGGGCCATGCATCACAGATGAGAAATGGTCTGATGTTTTTGCAAGAACATGTTTCAATTGTGTTTTCTCAAGCACAATTCTTGACTACTGAGAGCGAGGAAAATATGGACGCATCCAGAATGAATTGTTTTTCCGAGAACAAGTTGATTTTCATTCAATTCTCCTCCCAACCGAGATTCGGAGGACGTTCCAGATTTGGGTCACTTTCAAGAAAACTCTAGATCTCTGATAGCCATCTTGAGTCAATTCTGATATCCAGATCTCTTCATCTGAAGTTTCATCTTCAAAATGAGCCTAAGATTTCTAAAATCGGTTGACGTAGAAAAAAGTTATGGCTGCAAAACCAAAAAGTTGATTTTTTGAGATCACTCTGTGAATAAGAGATCATCTTCATGCCTCTGTTGTCGAAGTTGGGAAAACATTTTTTTTCACCATTTGAGAGCCTTTTGAATATTCCGAAATTTTGCACAGTGTCGGAGAACACCATGTAGAGATTTTATGTGAATACCCTTATGTTTCAATGAAATACGAGATTATAGCTGAAGGACTGGGCTATAGAACAGTGTGAACCAAATTCAAATTGTTCTAAACTGAAAAAAGTTGTTCACATTATAACAGGGGCGAAATTTTGGTGTGCGACGAAATTAGTGTTGAGTAGTTTATTTGTACTACATACATACATACATACATACATAAAACTTGAGTTAAATAAATGTATTATTGCCATTTTCATACCTTGCCGCCAAACAACGATATATCCCTACCAACATTGATGGATATTCGTTCCGATATTCCACAGTAATAGTAATTTACTAAAGCTTAAATCGTTTCGTTATTCAGTATTTTCAGTAATATCGGAACTCGACCTCAGTAGAAAAACTATGAGTACTTCAAAATATTCTTGTTATACATCGATACCTTGTTGAATGGTTATGAGGTGTCAGTTTGACAGTTGAAATAATCGCAAAGCGGAAGGATTATTCTGTTGTAATGACACGATTTGTAATTATGCAGGAAGTTTGGGATTTACAGGGAGTTCCTTAAAGACATGCTAATATTTGAGAGGGGGATTATTTGACTGATTTTAAGAAGAAAACTTTATATGAACGTATGTCCTTAAAGTCTTATCTTTTGAGATACAGGGTGATGAAGTTCTAAAAATATTCAGTTTTTTGATAATAACTGAGACAATATTGTATACATTGTCATGAAATTTGGTAAACGTCTTTTATGCATCAAGGTGCGTTTTCTGATGTACAAAAAATTTGAATTTCTCTACCAGTGGCACCGTTACGGGAATATTTTTGTTTATATTTCACTTAAAAGTGAGCAACTACGGAAAATTTTCAAATTCCATACAATGCTCAATTATGTACAAAAAAGATCCTCTTGTTGATAGTAAATAGAACGCTTAGTTTTCGAGAAAAAACGGAAAAACGAGACCAGAATTCAAATTCCATTCAGGACATTCATTACTAAATACCCACAGTATGAAAAATTTTGAAATTTGTATACCGATTCAGTCAGAACAGACTGAACGTTGCCATCACGAAAAGCTATACAGGGTGGACGAAAAAATAATCTATGCATATTTCCAACATTGAAACCCTGTATCTCAAAAGTTAGGACGTTTACGACATACGTTCATATTGAGTTTTATTCTTGAAATGGGTCGAAGAATCGGCCCCTTGAATATTAGCACATCATTGTACAGAAGAAGAAACTTAGAAATTGTTCGTGAAATATCTCGATGAATAGTGGTTTGATCACATTTTCAATATCTAATTCGTGTTTTTGAGACAAAAATACGTAAGTACCAAGAAAATTTGCGAAAAGAACCCATCGCATAAGTGCAAAATTGCCATTGTTTATTTTTACTCATTGCAGTAGCACAAGATCACTATTGTAGGACGTCAAAATATTATTCTGCCATTAACCCTTTGACTCACACTGTCTACAATAATTGTAGACACTAACTTTCCAGTATCTGTGATACGAACAACTCGCTTGGTTTCGCGTTTATTCAACACTGAATACATTCGTAGACGTCACTGCTCATATGTCAGCCTGTTAGCGATGACATCTGTCATACACAAGTAGTAAGATATACCACAGCGTGCATCGTGTTAACTTCGTCTTCCGTTCCATCCAGGAAAGTTCTTATAATTATTCAATTATATCGAAACTTTCTGGTGATCTAGTCAGTGTTATATTGTTTTTCAATCATAAATGATTCATCTTGATGCCTTCACATATATTTTCGTGAAATATTCCGCCTAGGGATTCTGACAGGCCCCTAAAATATCGTGTCCACAATTCTAGATATTTGTATTCAACGAATCGATTATCTATTTGAAATAGACACTGAGGATGATATTTCATGCGGTAGATATGGCAATGATAAATTCGTGGACAGAGTACATAAGAGACTCTCAGTTGCTTGGTCGGTCAGCAAAAAAGATTCTAGAGTTATTTCTCTTCTAGATTTAAAAGGGGAAGGTGCTCACAAAAAATTTAAAAATGACAATTTCAGAAAAAATGTAGGGTAGGGGAAGGAAGGCCATCAAACGTCCAGTTCAGCCGAGTCGAATCAGAGCTGAAGTGAGACCTCTCGCAGATGTACAGTAGGACAATGTGAATCATATATTAGTTTCCCTACCAAGGAGATGTAAACATGTTAGCTGCAAGGGCTACACTGGATAGATTTGCAGTAAATGTACCTTGTCTCTTCAGAAAAATCGCCAAAATTTTCAAAACATCTCACAAATTTGATTTGGATTGAACAGTTTTCTTTCATATTTGATTTTATGTTACCATTGTTCTGTCGTTCATCAATAAATATCATAATATATTATGTTCCTTTGACTACAAATGTCTACATTTGTTGACCAATTTTTTTTTCGTACTTCTAGGAGTGTCAATTCGAAAAATATGTTCAAAGTGTTTACAAATATCACTCCATAGATTTGCACTTAATGTAAGGTACATTTGTGTCTTCAAAAAAATCGCAACATTTTCAGAACGTTTTACAAGTTTGATTTGGAATGAACAGTTTTCTTCCATATTTGATTTTATGTAACCATTGTGCTGTCGTTCTTCAATAAATATCATAATATGTTCCATTGACTACAAATGTCTACAATTGTAGACCAATTTTTTTTCGTACTTCTAGGATTGTCAATTTTGATAAAAATGTTCAAAGTGCTTACAAATATCATATTATAACAATATACGAACAGAAAAATGTTTATCTCTTGAAACAAAAACTCGTGAGTCAAAGGGTTAAAACGTCACAAATATTTCCGATTTATTTCGTTGGTGGGCACCCACGAAAAAAAATGTCCACTAAAATACATCAGTTACTATGGTGATTTGTCAAAGAAACCCAATTTGGTTAGGTAAACATAACTGGTATGGAATTTTCTAAAGAACCGAGACACTCACCCCTCTCCTCCAAATCCTCCACCTCCTCGTAATTCTTCCAATCCGCCAACGAGTAGTACCACCTTCTGCTAGCGGCAACCCGGCTGTTCCGCTTTCCCTTACGGTTCTGCCTGAAGTGCCAGTCGAGGTGCTGGCTGTACTGCACAGTGGCGTCCGTCGAGAACCGCATGCCGCAACTGCTGCACTGCATACCCGAATAGAGGATCTTGTACAGGCCGTTCTGCCGGATGCGGAACTGTTCCGGTTTTTTGAAGGTTAGAGGACGCAGGGTCTCGAGGTTCTTCCTCGATCGCTGGCTGGAGGCTATCGACGGGTCTGGTTGAGGGGGCACCTTGAAGTGATTCAAAAATAGACCATTGAAATGAACGCGGAGACTCCAAACTTTATTATTAGGAGAACGAATGCATTTAGGAAGTAGAAGGTCGTTATAAATCAGGACAGTAAACCAATAGGTATATACCCTCGAAATAACTTCATCAAATGTTTACAAGTCATGGACCGATTAATATCTTCACGTGAATAAACTCATGATAGGGATTGAAATATTTTACAAAAAATGTACATAAGATTAAGGTTTTATCAAGTACTTGACGGTACCTCCTTGGAAAACAGATCTGATCAGCGTGAAGAGATTAACAAGAGATTGAAAAGAGTGTACAAGGAAATCATAAACGCAGTAAGATCAAACTTGAAGGTCATCAGAAGATTGGCCAAACCTTAAGTAAATACCAGACAATTAAGATAACAACGAAATCTTTTTTCTGCACTTGAGTTCATTCATTGATTTAATCGATTCTTGCGAGATGATTTATGACACAATTCCATTTAAAAACTATATTTCGAGACCCGCATGCCGCAACTGCTGCACTGCATACCCGAATAGAGGATCTTGTACAAGCCGTTCTGTCGGATGCGGAACTGTTCCGGTTTTTTGAAGGTTAGAGGACGCAGGGTCTCGAGGTTCTTCCTCGATCGCTGGCTGGAGGCTATCGACGGGTCCGGTTGAGGGGGCACCTTGGAGTGATTCAAAATTAGACCATTGAAATGAACGCGGGGACTCCAAAACTTATTATCAGGAGAACGAATGCACTTAGGAAGTCGAAGGTCGTTTTAAACCAGGACAGTAAACCAATAGGTATATACACTCGAAATAAGTCATCAAGTGTTTACTACAAGTCATAGACCGATCAGTATTTTCAAGTGAATGAACTCATGATAGGAATTAAAATAGTTTTACAAAAATGTATATGTATAAGAATAGGGTTGTATCAAGTACTTGACCATACCTACTTGGAAAACAGATCAGAACAGCGTGAAGAGATTAACAAAAGGTTGAAAAGAGTGTGCAAGGAAATCATAAACGAAGTAAGATCAAACCTTGAGTAGATGCCAGATAATTAAGATATCAAGGTCCGTCACTCATCAAGTTCACTTCAATACGACATGTCGCAGCGACAATGGCTGCTTAACAAGATGTAATCCATATTTTACCCCCTTTTGGGAAACACATTTTAATTTGTTTGTAACGTATTTTACTTAAATGTCGTTAGTTTTGAACTGGACAAAAGATATTTTTATGGACGAATTTCCCTGTTAACCTGACGAGTACGCACTGATGATGACTTAACAGTCGAAAGAGCTCTGCTACGAATATTTCGAATAAATTTCTTGCACGAAATACAAATCTTCCCTTCTTTGGTAATTAAGATAACAACGAAATCTTTTTTCTGCATTTGAGTTCATTCATTGATTGAATCGATTCTTGCAAGATGATTCATGACACGATTCCATTCAAAAACTATATTTCGAGAAGGGCATGCCGCAACTGCTGCATAGCATGCCCGAATAGAAGATCTTGTACAAGCCGGATGCGAAACTGTTACAGTTTTTTGAAGGTTAGAGGGCGCAGGGTCTCGAAATTATGCCTCGATCGCTGGCTGGAGGCTATCGACGTGTCCGGTTGAGTAGGCACCTTGAAGGCAGGCATTGATTCAGAAATAGACCATTGAAATGAACGCGCAAACTTTATTATTAGGAGAACGAATGCACTTAGGACCGATCAGTATTTTTACGTAAATGAACTCAGGATAGGAATTGAAACATTTTTCTAAAAATGTACATGAAAATAGTGTTTTATCAAGCATTTGACGGAACCTCCTTGGAAAACAGATCTGATCAGCGTGAAGAGATTAACAAAAGATTGAAAAGAGTGTGCAAGGAAATCATAAACGAAGTAAGATCAAACTTGATGGTCAAAGTGGCCAAACCTTGAGTAAATGCCAGATAATTAAGATAACAACGAAATATTTTTTCTGCACTTGAATTCATTCGTTGATTGAATCGATTCTTGCAAAATGATTCATGACACAATTCCATTTAAAAACGATATTTCGAGAAGAGCATGTCGCAACTGCTGCATAGCATGCCCGAATAGAAGATCTTGTACGAGCCGGATGCGGAACTGTTGCGGATTTTTGAAGATTAGAGGGCGCAGGGTGACGAGGTTTTTCCTCGATCGCAGCACTGGGTTTTGATTGGGTTCCGGTTGGAGTGGTACCTGGAAGGCATGATTCACATCAAGAATCGCCCATTGAAATGAAAGTAACCCTCTAATGAACGCGGGGACTCCGAAATGTATCATTAGAATGCACTCAAGAGGTAGAAGGTCGTTTCAAATTAGGACAGTAAACCATCAAGTATATAAACCCGAAATAAATTCATCAAGTATTTACGAGTCAGGCTCATGATAAGGAACTGAATATTTTTTTAAAAACGCATATACAGGGTACGGCAAAGGAAGCAAGTGTTTTTGGTTTGGGTGGTACTCGGCCATAAGAAAAGGGCGGGGCGCGCGATTTATTACAATCCATTCCTCGACTCGAAGCATTTCACTTTCTCAGTTGCCACTTGCCATCATGGAGCGATGGACGCAAGAGCAACGCGTGTTCGTTATTGTTATTTCACAAACACTTGGTTCATATGCCCCATCTTTTAGAAGTATACAAGAAAAACACACAGACCAAAGAGTACCACTGGGAAACAAGTGAGTTATTGTGAGGGTGAGGCTTCAAAAAGATGTTTCACAAAACCCCCTTCCATTTAATTTTTTTCCCAGATGGCGCCCTGTGGCTATCTTGAAATTTTCATCTGTCAATTTTACTTCAAAATATAGTATTCATGCAACAATTTCACTATCCCAATTTTCAATTTTTTCAGATGACGCGTTCAAAGAATAAGGGAGGAGAGGGGGGTATTAAAGAAAAGCACTGTATAGCCAATGCCAATGTAAACACGGGTAGATCTACGACCACCCGCAGAAAGTCATCGTCGTTTTCATCGATGTTGGATCGGGACAAAATGTAAACAATTTCGTCTTCCCTCTGTTTCTATGTCTATGGAATAAACACTCACCACTTTAACCGGCGACAAACGGCCACCGTCCTTCCCCGCACCGCTCTTCTCGACCGCCCCAGCCGGTTTCTCGACCGCCCCAGCTGATTTCTCGACCGCCCCAGCCGCTATCTCGACCGCCCCAGCCGCTATCTCGACCGCCCCAGCCGCTTTCTCGACCGCCCCAGCCGGTCTCTCGCCCTCCGAGGACGTGACGAAGCCCGAGGCGACCAGCTTCTGGAACAGGTCGTTGATGTTGAGGGCGGGCGCCGCGGGCAGTCCAACCGGCCGTTCCGCCCTTGCTTCCCGCCCGCCCGGCTGGTTGTCCACCTGGTAGCTACCCGTGGTCGGCTGGGCGGGGCCGGTCATCGCGTTCGACAGGGCGTCGAGGTTGGCTAGAAAGGGAACGACGATTAGCGATTATCTCTATACAGGGTGTTTCATAATATATGCGCTGGAGTTCAGGATGTGATAGTAAGTCCGGAAATATGAAAAAAAGTTTTTATTAACTTACCCTCTAGAATGCACCATTTTCGGGAGTGTTTTTCTCCCTAACCTCTACGCCACTGGAATAGGTACAGTTTTGAGCAGTAGATTTTAACCTCTCATGTTTTCTACACAAAAAAGTTTTCCTGGTCATAAGCTCTGAGGTTGACCGTTTTCAAGAAAAATCAACTTTCATGTTGAAAAACATTGTAAATTTTTTGAAATAATGTACGTTTACTAATAAGTGAAAAAATCGAAGGCTAACTTCATATTGCACAATTACAAAATAAAAAAAAACAATAACAAATCATAGTAAGATAAATTATAACTGTCGATGAATGGGTGTTCCACAAGGATCTGTTTTAGGACCAATACTGTATCTGCTTCATATTCAGAATATCACGAAAGTTGGTTTAGCGAGTAATTATACCATATATGCAGACGATACAGTGCTTTTATATGGAAACAAAAATCCTTTAATTTTAGAAACTGTGATGAATAACGATCTGAAATCATTTGAGAAATGGCCCTACTCTAACATTTTATCGATAAATACCAGAAAAACTGAATATATGATATTTCAACAAAAAAAAAAAGAAAATTCAGCTCAATCTTCAAATAAAGAATGAATTTTTGAAACAAATTGAACAGATAAGTTATTTAGGTATTTGGTTTGATGAAAAATTGAAGTGGGACAAATATATTGAGGTTCTGACAAAGAAAATGTCTCCTATTATTGGTGCATTGAGAAGATGTCCCAAACTCAATATAAAAATTGCAAATATAGTACTCTATTCACATATACTAAGTCGAATTAACTATTCAATAAATGTTTGGGGATCTTGTTCTAAAAATTATTTCAACAAAATATCAACATTATATAGGAAATCATTAAAAGTACTGTATCGTCTTCCATATGATACACCAACAACTGAACTGTATGCCTTAACAAAAACATATCCATTAGAAGAACCAAACAGATTAGGGACTGAAAATTTCATATATCATTAATAAAAAATGGAAATCTAATATTATTTTGACAAGAAATTTTGAAATACAGTCGTCAAACTAGACAATTTAACTTATTTCACCTTGATGCTGCTAGATCTACACTCGGACAAAAAATACTCACCCATCTGAGTTCAATAAACTACCAGATGTAAATTAAAAACTGCAGAAGTATAGGTACATTTAAAAAGAAAATAAAAAAAACTGATCATTTCTGAGAGAAATGTTTGAAAATTATAGGGATTTCCTTTCGTGCGCTGCAAAAAAAAAAGTTATGTCCTTGACTAGAATGCTTTTCTTTGTTCATTGATTGTTTTGTTTTATTGTGATTTATTGTCATATCCTGATTTATTATTCATGTTCACTTCTACTCATGTTTGTGTAGTAGTTCATAGATATTTATTACTTATTATTTTATAATTATGTTCTTCCTCATACCAGAACTTGTTCTGACTGAAAGATATGTTTGATAAATGAAATAAATATTGTTATTGTGAATTATTGTTGGAAATTGCCGCGGTTAGCTTCAATGCAGGCAGCAATTCTTCAAAAAAATTACCATGATTTTCTACATTAAAGTTGATTTTTATCGAAAACTACAAAGCTTATGAAAAACATTGGCGGTTCAAATGGGCAGCTGAAAACTATACTTTTTCCAGTGGCGTAGAAGTTGTGGAGAAAAACACTCACTGCCCCTTCAAAATCTTCACCAATTATGACTTGATAATGAATAAATTCTGCTCAAAACATAGCTTATTATGAGTAGAAAATGTTTACAGATGTTGTTTGCGATGAACGGTTTCAGAGATATTCGCAAAAAACGAATTTGTTTTTCAAATGTATCTCGAAAATGGTACATTTTAGAGGGTAAAATAATATACACTTCTTCTCATATTTTTGAACGAGCTATCACATCCTGAAGTCCTGCGCATATATTATGAAACACCCTGTATATAAAAATGAATCCCTTTTTCCCTTGGTCACGACATCATCCGTGAACGGCTGGAAACATTTCACTAATTCTTTTTTTTTTTGTTGTGTTTGTTTTTGTCTGGGGAAGTTCTTATGAAAGAAAAAATTAGGAAATTCAAGATGGGGGATCCAATATGGCGGACGAGTTTTGTGAATATTCAAAATTGATATCTGAGGACCTTCGGGGTTAGGAATTGTGATTCTTTTGTCAAAATTGACAAATTCAAAATGGCCGATCCAATTTGGTGAACTATATCTCTAATTATGATCCGATAAGATTCAAAATTTTTTATCTGGGGGTTTTCGAAGTCGGAGATCATGATTCCTCCGTCATAATTAGAAAATTAAAGATGGCGGATTCAATAATTATGTCGAACGAGCTTTGTAATAGTGTTCTGAAAACCTAATGGAACACGCTTTTATAGATATAATGAAGACGGCAGAACCGAATATCAACAACTTATATATTTTTGGAATCAGAAAAGAAAGATCTTAAATTTTTTTCGAAAAATAAATAGGGTGTTCCATTGAAAATAACGAAGTTGGTATCCATTTCTTATATCAGCGATATTCATTTGTTTCACCTCGTAGAATTTTCTGGAGGTTCAGAACAAACAATACAACTTTTGTATTTGAAGTTTTTTCTATCTTCAATGGTGAAGCATGTAGAAGCTGTTTGATACACGTAATGGCCCTGTATACATAGTCTTCGATACTGGAGAAACTGAACACTGCATCGGTGTGTTATAGTCTACAGCAATACCAAATCCATTAGGTGTATATGACGACTGGGAATTACGACGTGTTCAGATATATCGAGTGACTTTGTGAAACAATTGATCAATTGACCATATTTCACTTCAAGTATTGTCATATTCAGTGTCACCTGTCGAATGTATGCTTTTGTCTTTGTCAGTTAGAGCAGAAACATTTGCGGACTGTTAGGACGTTCGCTCATACCGGAAGTGGGCTACAAATTCGTTAATCCGGGAAATAATCAGAAGGCCCATCTCATAATTCGCTTATAAGGTCTTCAAGCAATTAAACGTCCTGGCTCATTACATTTTCTTTCCATTTGAGCTTCTGTGATGGACTAATTTATAAGAAAACGCCCAATTGCTGATGATCTTACAAGTGAATTATGATAGACGTGACGTGGAAAAGACTTTAACAGTTGATTCTGAATATGTCATGGAGTATATAGTTTGTTAACCAACCGTTATTTCAAGTCATGTATACTATTGGTTTCAGAGTCGACAAGATTGGTAATTGACAATGTCAACAGTAAAAAAATCAGTCATAAAGATCCTGAATCCCACTTGCCACATTCATTGGATGATATCTATCTATTTTTTTTTATTTACAAAAATTCAACAGAAATCTGATAAAATTAGAATGTTTCATCAAAAATAAATACAGATATGCATACAACACACAGTAATGTTCAGATGGTCAATAAAAAACGATCATTCCTCTGCTGCCAATTTGGTTTCCTGAAGCTTCATGGCAATGCCAGCTTCTATGAAACTGCTTTCGTCTATTTGAACAGGGAAAATAAAGCAGTTCTTGCTATTTCGCAAGTGGGATAGGATAGATGCAAAAGCATAACTTACCCCAGGTAGAGATAGGATCCTTTATTCCTTAGGTATTTCAGCACAACTAATTACGATATGGAAAAAAGTGTTTCATCCTCGAAATCCTATTTAGGTCAGACCATGAAAAATAGAGAACGAAACATTCTTGTTTTTATTGCAATAATACTGCTGTATTTTGATTCAAAGATTGGCATCAGTCCACCAAGGAATTACCGTATAAGGATTGTACTCTTTAAAAAACAGGTCTGTTTCCATTTTCCTTGACATTTTTGAGGTATCGAATTAACAATTATGCGATACATTGTTTCGGTCTTCGGTATTCAACTTCCAGATCAACTGGAAATAGTCAACTTCCCGACTTCCGAAAACTCTAATACCATGGTTGTGATTATATATGTTGTTTAACGAATCGTTACATACAAGAGTATTAAGAAGGGATGGCATTTGGCAACATTGCCAGCTCTGGTATAGCGGATGTATCACTGTAGGAGGCGGAAACTAGAAAAGATGTTGCGATGTTGGCACCCAAATGTAACGATTCGATGAACAACCTGTAACAAATATAATATAGGGTCTTCCATTTGACTCCACTTCTGGTTGAATCAGAAAAATTGAGTAGAACGGCAAAGCTTTAGAATTCTTTGCCGATAGAAGTATTCCCAAGAACTTTCCTGCCTGGGTACGGATTCCCTTTCGTGCGCTCCAAAAGATAAAAAAAATATTAAATAAAAAGAAATGACCTCATTACATAGAGCAGACAATTCTATTTTACCCTACAAATGTCAGTCATTGTATAACTCAATAATGTCGAGATATGAAAGCATAACCCACTTTTTCCAGAATAGATGAAACATGTTTTCAAGTTTCATTCTTTCATAGAATATTGATCGCTGAACATGATCTGAAAGGTGTAATTAATTATCAACCAATTTTTGTATACCTACCTTACAACTAAATCATTCGCTTTCAGCATACATTTGTTTTTTCAATTACAGAAAAAACTTGTGGAAATCGTATCGTTTATGAAATTGAAGTTTTTTATGTTCAAAGACAAACCACTAAAACAAGCGGTTTTCTCACGAAGTTCCTCGCAGAATAATGATGTAAGTTTCGACTACAGGAAAATGTTATGTTGAAATATCAATATTCAAATGCAAAGATTGTGATTCATCGCTTGACTATTCAGTAGTTATTCATACATGGTGACATTTTAAAAACTTCCCACCCTCAATATCTTCCTTCCAGTGAATAATATGAAGAATCGAAAAGACAAGTCAATTTTAATTTCGAGGGGGACATTTGAAATGAATATTTTCAGCCCTATTTGTTCAAAC